AAGCATGAAACAGCAGATCCCAAATTCTTAAGGAACAGGTCATCTAATGAGGTCGTAACACTGCATCCTGACCCATATTCCACTAAAAGCTTTCTTTCTGTTACTATCACCTACTTCTATTTTTTTTTCCAACTTTTCTGTAAGTCTAAAATTATTTCAAAATAAAATGCAAACAGGGGCGCCTGGGTGGCTCTGTCGGTTAAGCGTTGCCTTCGGCTCAGGTCATGATCCCAGGGTCCTGGGACCGAGTCCCGCATCAGGCTCCCTGCTCAGCGGGGAGCCTGCTTCTCCCTCTGCCTCTGCCCCTTCCCCCAGCTCATGCTCTCTCTTTCTCTCTCTCTCTCAAATAAGTAAATAAAATCTTAAAAAAATAAAATAAAATGCAAAACATCTGATAAACTTAAGGGAGTGAAGGAATCTACAATGTAGAAGGATAGGCATTTGAAATTTTAAAAGTAGAGCAGTGTTCCCGTGATAAAATGACCTTGGGTAGCTACTGATGCCATCGTGGTGACTGCAAGATAGTACACATTAGATGGATCAACCACACTGACAGTCAAATCCCCAGGATGACAACAGGAGTAAGACTTTGAATCTTTTGTGAGAGTCATCAATGTATACAGAGATAAAGGGAAAGTAGGGGACCTAAAGGTTGATTGAAGGAACTATAATTGAAATTTTTGAGCTTCAAATGATAAACAGTTTTTAACTGAGGGTTGCTGAACAGTGATCTTGAAGTAGTCAAGATAACACTGAACACTATGGACTTAGGAATCCTGATCCAGAAGAGAAGCAGAAAAATAAATGTCAGTCACCTGAGAAGGTTTCTAAGGACACAGTATGCTAGTAAGAGCATCAAGTTTCTTCTGTTATAGGGGGGAAAAAGGTAGAAGAAAGTTCTCAGGAAAGGTAAAGGATACAATAAGTATTACTAGCAACAGAATGAGTATCACAGTGGAAATCAGGATTTGATCAGTAAAGATGAACAAAGATGGGTAAAAGCTGATACCGACAAAGAGAGAATGGAAAAAGATAGATTGCTTAGAAGATGTCTAGGATGGATTATTATATGAAGAAAATAACTGTATCATATTGTCTTTAATACATAGAGATCATAATGACTTCATAAAATTTTTAAGGCTATAAAATTATCTTTTTAGCTTCAGGATAGAGGCTCAGGTATCCAGTGGGCTTAGTGTGGGGCTTATACCTGACAGGAATAGGGAATTCAGGGATAGAAACTGTGACATTAGCATAAGGTTACCTGAAAGAAAAGAGAACAACTTCTAGAGTTAACCATTCTCATTTATACACTTCCTCCAGCCAAAACATTTTGACTTCTTCCTAAAAGCACACTTATTATTAGTTGGGTGGCAACTCTATTTAGCAATACAGGGAAATGTACAGATGTGACCCTTCCCAGGAAGAACTCAGACTGATGAGACACGTGCACGTGAGTGTGTGCGTGCGTGTGTGTGCACGTGCACGCACCAGCATACTTTACGGCATTATATTCTAGGTGAGCATCAAAAAGCTGGAGAACAAAAATGTTTCAAAAATATGTTGCTCCTTTTATCTAATTCCAAAATAATAGCACAGTTTGCCATACAAATTGGAAGCACAGGATCTTCCAATGTGTCCAAAAATATAACCATCTCAAAGAACTACAGAGAGCAAATGGAAAGCATTCATTTCAAAAATCTAGATAGAAGCCCAGACAAACATTCCATGCCATGGCTCAGATGTACATTAAATGCCAAGACTTTAGGATAAGAGAACAGAAAATGAAAATCATAATATCCACGTCCAACCAGAAAGTATTCATACCTATATAAGTAATTTTAAATACCTGAGATGAGAGATTTAAATACTTTAAAAGCACATTGCCAGGTTTTACTTACAAACACCATCAATGTAATCCTTCAAAAGGTTTGCATCTGTCAATACCCAGAGGCCACATTCCTAGAAAGAAAAATTTTAATTTTCTTTTTTTTACATGCTTTTTTTTTATGTTATATCACCATACATTACATCATTAGTTTTTGATGTAGTGTTCCATGATTCATTGTTTGCATATAACACCCAGTGCTCCATGCAGAACGTGCCCTCTTTAATACCCATCACCAGGCTAATCCATCCTCCCACCCCCATCCCCTCTAGAACCCTCAGTTTGTTTTTCAGAGTCCATCATCTCTCATGGTTCAAGTTTAAATGCTCTGTAAAATGTCACAGCAGTTTCCCATACTCTTAACTCACTCTTGTTCATTTGTTTTTATGCAAATGTGAAAGTTTTTTTTACTCTATCTCATTTTTGAGAATTTACATATGTACATGAGCATTCTCTCTCCCTCTATACACAGAACACACACACACACACACGTTTTCCATTTGCTTTTAAAACTGGAAGGATGATTATCTTTCCATTTCAAATTACACTTATATAACACGCTGCACTTCACCAACATATTTAATAAAAGGTTAACATTTCATTATTCAGATAATTAATTCTGAAAGTGTTTGCAATAGTAAAAGATATTAATATCTTTTCAAATTATGTAACAAACTAAACATACCTGAAAAACTGCAAAAGAATTCATGAACATGCCTAAATAATATCCTGTGTTATAAAGTTCCAACTCATGGACCACCTAAGGAGAAGATAAAATATATGGAATGAATTGAATCGTATCAACCTGTTCTGCCCTCTGCCATACTCCTTGTATGTTACTTAGGTAACACACAGCCCACAAGCTTATCTAATTTGAAAATGACACAAATGGAGGAATAAAGAATATTTGAATGCCTTGTTCATGATTCAATCAGCTAAAAATACATTTCTTCTTTTAACTTATTTTTACTCTGTTCAGTAATCGAGAGTTCCTAAGAAGTGTACGCTTGAGAGGCGCCTGGGTGGTTCAGTTGGTTAAGCAGCCGACTCCTGGTTTCAGCTCAGGTCATGATCTCAGGGTCCAGGCATCGAGCCCTGCGCCAATCTCCACACTCGGCAGGGAGTCTGCTTATGGATTCTCTTCTCCCTCTGCCCCTCCCCCTGCTTGCTCACATTCGCATGCACTCTCTTTCTCTCTCTCGCTCTCTCTCTTTTTCTCTCTCTAAAATAAATAAATAAATAGGGGCACCTGGGTGGCTCAGTCGGTTAAGTGTCTGCCTTCGGCTCAGGTCCCAGCTCCCTGCTCAGTGGGGAGTCTGCTTCTCCCTCTCTCTCTGCCCCTCCCTCTCTTGTGTGTGCTCTCTCTCTCTCTCTCTCAAATAAATAAATTAAATCTTTTTAAAAACAAATAAATAAAATAAATAAATCTTTAAAAAAAAAGTGTATGCTTGAGTTTTGCCCAGAAAGAACTTAAATGTCACTGGTTGACTAAACCAACACATAGGGGTCAGCATTGAAAACAGCCCATACTTTTGTCAGATAAATGGGTTAAATCTGATGGTTAATATAAGTGCTGCAAATGTCAGTTAACTACATTTTTTAAATAACAAAAAGAGGCAATTCACAAAAAAAGAAATGCAAATTATTCAACCTCATTGATAATCAAGATAATGCAAATTACATCAAGGAAAGTGTTTTCAATATTGAAATATTTACATGATCACATTAGCAATGCTATTTTTTTAAGAACAGCATTCCTTGCTAGCAAGAGTGAATAAAATAGGCTAAAAGAGTGAGTGAAGTTGGCAGCTCCTAAAAAAGCTAAACACAGATTAGAATATGACTTGGCGGGGCGCCTGGGTGGCTCGGTCGTTAAGCGTCTGCCTTCGGCTCAGGTCACAATCCCACGGTCCTGGGATCGAGCCCCGCATCGGGCTCCCTGCTCCACGGGAAGCCTGCTTCTCCCTCTCACACTCCCCCTGCTTGTGTTCCCTCTCTCGCT